CCAGGTTTGATGTTGTTGTTTTGTTTTTAAGAAACTACTCTACACACCCATATCCTTGAGTTTCAGAAAGTCCATCCTGGTAATCAATCAACACATTGCCTTTCATAAATATTTTCCATTACTCCCTCATGCATTTTCAATATTGCACCTACTTCAATATTTTTTAGGTATTTCTGGCACAGCTCATCCTATTTATGTCAATGAAAACTAGTAAAAAATGACAGTCTCTATTCCCTGTATTGCTTGCAAAATATGTACTGAAAATTGTAACCTGATTTGGCTTATTTTCTGTGGCTCAGATACACAACAGAATATTATACTGTTTTGCTTTTCCTTCTCTATAAAAATGATGGTAGCATTTTTGCTTAAGTAAATATGCCTTGTGATAGGTAGGATTATTACCAGCTAAATGAATGACATAATATTTTTCTTTGATTTCACTCAAGCCTCCTCTTCCTTTACTTTGTGAATTTTTCACTGCATCCTCCCCAAAGTAATTTTACATCCTAAATCTCTCCTAAAGGTTAATTTGCATCTGTATTCACTGAAACTCTCTTATCAACTCATTGCCTGGTAACAATTGACATGTCCTGCTAATGCAAAAAAACCACAACTCTTCTATTCAAAAAGAAATATGTGATAGTCCAAAAATCCCTTGACAGGAGAAAATGTGGTTCAGTACTCATCTGGGTGTAGGGATGTTTTATCATATCAACAACTTTTAGTGTGATGCAGCAGAAGTCAGTGTATTTTGTATATTATTTTAAGATTAAAAACCTTGCTTGTTCACTGTGCAATAAAGCTAAAATCTTAACGGTTTATGTTCAGAGAGTTTAGTTGCCTCAGCCGGTGGGTGAGAGAAACAGCAAGAGCATCCTGCTGTTTGCCTGACCCTTTTCTATCAGATTGAAGTATTATTATGTACTACACTATATTCAGCTTCATCTGGAAAAAAGCACAATCTGTTCTTTTTAAGCTTCTTAATAGTTTCTAGGACTGATTCATTGGAAATGGAACTAGCAGATCGCTATAGTTAGGCTGTAGGTGGGGATGCATATGCTTGAGTTTTAAACAAAATTGCAGAGTCTTTTGTAACTGATTTTTTTTAAAAAAACAACAACATGCAGACACATATGGGAGTAGCTTTAGCTTTTGAGCTGGGCTTAGGGCCAGACATTCAGGTAGGCAGTATGCAGGATTCAGGCTGGCATTTTAAAAGAACCCAGCTGCCAGTTTTTACCATGAGTATGGGATGTATTTACAAAAGCTACCAACAGCAATCAGCTCTCATTATGCCACTGACAGACAAACTTTCAAGAGATGAATATCCAGTAAAAAATTATGATACCTCCTCTGGCAGAACCAGTCACAATATAGAGATGCTGATTTCCAAATGCTGAAATGGAGCTGGAGCTTGGCAGAGGAGGAGGAACTGAATAAAAATTGACCGTACTTGAGCTCCAGTTTGTGCTGTTTCCTGAGTCTTTTCTGCTGAA